GGCTGCTCCAGGCTTCACAGATCTCACCCTCCTCTGTACCGGCGTCGCCTGCGAGGAGTTCTTCAACTTCCGGACCCACAGATGGCGTTTTTACCCTCAGCGACACTGAGGCTTTTGAGGCCTGACACGTCGCCGAGGAGTAGGTTCCTGAGAGGAGCCGCGACCCGGCTACGTGCTCAGGCGATTAGCGCGCTCCCGAGGTGAAGATGTGGTGGCTCCCTCCGAGACGTTTAGCAACGTGAACGGTCCAATCAGAAACGTGCAAAAAAATAAATAAAATAAAAATCACAGTTCTTGGAAAATACAGATTTGCAAAAAGAAGAGGTTGCTGATATTTGAGTGTGTGTCCTTCCGGACCTGTCTGGCATATGTGCATAAATGTGCATTTATAGACCCCCAAATGACATCAGTTATTCTCCCACGAAATTCTTTTTTCCATAGGAAAACAAGTTGTAAAAAGTTTGGGAAGAAATGTTTCACTTTGATACGACTTTAAATCTTAACATTTCTGTTTGAGCAAGGTAAATACTGGACTGAACATAAACAGTTAATTTCTCCTGGAGTCTTTACATTTTTGTTTTGTTTTCCCTCCCCTGATTACCTGAGTCATTACATTTTATCAGGGGGAAAAAATCTTTCTCCTTAAAAACTGTTAAATGAAAACTATTTTTTTAAATTTTATTTTAGTTAATGGACCTTTATAAAAATTATTTATTTTATATGTGGTGCATGAGATTCAAATCCAGTGCCTCACCCATGCTGGGCAAGCACTCTACCACTGATCCACAACCCCAGCCCCATTTTAATTCAATAAACCAAAATACTTTGCAGTCAGTGTTCACATCTCAGGTATAAAAATAAGTAAGCATTTATAATTTGCCTCAAAAATTAAAGCTATTACTCTGTTAGAAATTAAACAAGAATTCTCTGAACTCATTTAGATTTAGGTCTGATCTTCCTCATGCAACCAAAATCCAAATGCATATGATACTCTGCAACAAAAATAAATAAATATAAAACTAACTTTGAATCTTTCTTTTTCAATGTTTTATTTTATTTCTCTTCTGAAATATAACCCACTAACAAAATACTTACCTTTTGTTATTCTAATAAACAGAAGGAAATACTGACAGAACTTTGACCCTAGTACAAAATTAAAGCCAAGAAAATCTAACGAGCTGGTAGAAATAATTTTTTCTCATATCTTATTTTGTAAAATTAGTGTGACCAATATACTTAGTTTTCCTGGGCCAGCCCCAGTTTGCATCTTTTTTTCCAGTAATAATTTTACTGGAAATGCTCCTTTTCACTCTCAAAAGTACTCCAGTTGAGGCATTTTATGGCCAGGCTATTTATAATTCAGTTAAGAGAGTTTTAAATTCAGAAACTTTAAAAAGAAGAAAGAACCTAATTTAAATTCACATTTAAAAATAGAAATCAGTCTAATGTCAACA